ATGGGGGGATGGGGTGGAGGCAGTGCTGGCTCCTGACTGGCTCTAGGCTCTGAACCAGTCAACTGTGGAAATTGCTATTTACAGATTCATTGGTGGTGGGGGTAGAGGTGGGGGGATGCTCAGTGGCTTTGTTTACAAATGTTCATGTTCACAAAACCTGAAATCCTGTTTGGGCCCAAGTCCTTCTCTGGCACCCTTTTCCCTGTCTTCTGGAATGTTCTCCAGTTCACTCATCCATCTCCAGGGAGAAATTCATGGAGAAGGCTGAAGCCGCGGAGGTGAAGCGTCTAGACCACCTCAACCCCAGGTGGCCACATTCCAGCCTGTGTCAGGGGTCAGGATCGGGCTGGGACAGCCAAGCTGCCTCCTCTCCAGCGGGTCCCTCTTGCCCGGGCCTGAGTCAGAACCCATTGGAGAGTTCCTGCTCCGCGGTGGAGGGGGACGGGGAGCTGGTCCCCTCCAGCCTCTCGGTGCGGAGGAAGGGGAGCCACTTCGCCAGGCGCACGGCCAGCAGCCGGTGGAAGAGCTGGCGCAGGTAGCCGCGGAACCTCTCGCCCACGAAGGCGTAGATGATGGGGTTGACGCAGCAGTGCGTGGAGGCGATCACCTCCGTCAGCTGCAGGGCCAGGTCCAGCTGCTTGCTCTGCTCACACTCATTAGCCAGGAGGCTACTTTGAAAAGCAGTGAAAAATATAGTCAGATTGTAGGGGGTCCAGAAGAGAAAGAAGATGATCATGACGACAAAAATCAGGCGGACGGCTCTGGCCTTCTTCTTGTTCGGCCGCTTGAGCAGAATCTTTATAATCCCCGTGTAGCAGACGATCATGGTGACCAGAGGCAGGACCAGCCCCAGCACGTTCAGTTTCAGGGCCTGGAACTGTTGCCACTGCTTCAGGTGTTCGTGAGGGAAATGGAGGTTGCAGGTGTAATGAGTGAACTCCCACTGGACCTTAGAAAAGTAAAAGCCCGGAATGGCAGCCAGAATGGCCAGGACCCAGGTGAGGAGGCTGGTGACGATACCAAAGGTGACGGTCCGGGCGTGCAGGGCGAACACGGCGTGGACAATGGCCAGGTACCTGTCGATGGTCAGCAGGGTGATGAAGAAGATCTCGCTGTACAGGCTTACGTAGTAGAGCCCCGAGAGCAGCCTGCACGTGCCGTTGCTGAAGGCCCAGTCATCCCTGACGTTGTAGTCAATCCAGAAGGGCATCATGAAGAGGAACAGCAGGTCCGAGATGGCCAGGTTGAGCAGGAAGATGCTGGTCATGCTCTTGAGCCTTTTGTATTGCACGAGGACCAGGACCACCAGGATGTTGCCAACCAGGCCAATCACAAACACCAGGGAGTACAAGGGGGGTAGCAGCTGACTCCCCAAAGCCCTCAACTCTTCTTTCTGGCATGGGGTTGTGTCCTCATAGTCATACTCTGTGGTCCCCTCATAGCCCTTTGGAGTGGTTGAAGTTTCCATGCTGGCTTCTGCCACGGGTCCGGGGAGACGGTGTCTGTACTTGCTTTGCTGTTAAATGCAGTGGGCTCTGGACAACAAAGACAAGGCGGTGATTATATGTCTTCAACCAGTTGGCCACTGTTGACTGCATTCCTACTGTATACCATGCCCTGGGACCCAACGTTGAGCAAGGGGGACCCAGGTCCTCTTTGCCCCAGTGGAAATGTAGTTTAAGGGTGTGTGGGGGGGAGACAATAAACAGATGAGTCAACAAATCATGAATTCAGTTACTTGGGCAATGAGTTCTGTGAAGGAAATTCCTGTGGAAGGAGAATCCAGACAAAGGGAGACCTCACCACACCCCCTCACCAATGCTTCCTATGGACTTGATATTAAGCAACCCTGGGGGGGGTTCATTATTGTTCCCCATCTTAGAGGTGATGACACAGAAGTTTGGAGTGGTTTGGACATATATCTGGTGAGAATGAGAGCTGGAGCTCAAACCTGGTACCCGTTCCTGGAACCACTCAGCTTTCTTGCCTCCAACCACAGAGGAATGACCTTGCACTTTGGAGTCCACAGAAGGACATGGGAAGGAAAATAGTCCTGGCTGAGAGTCAAAAACTAACCAACTTATAAGCATACATGCCTAGCCCATGGAAACAGACAATAGACAGGAGAAGGCCTGGCGTGGGGTGGGAGATGGGTGAGGGGGGCAAAGGAGGGAAAATAGGGGACATCTGTAATACTCTCGACAAAATAAATTTTTAGAAAAAACAAAACTAACCAGTGGTTCTTCATGGCCTTGGGGCTAAAATGTTTCTCAGCTGGATGACATAGGGCTAGGCGGCAGGGCACATGAAAGTGTGTGGGCATTTGATCTTTTCTGGTTGTCACAAAGACTAGGGGGTGCTCCTGTCATTTGGTAGGCAGGGCCAAGGGTGTGTTACAGTGAGAAATTATCCCACCCAAACCCCAGTAGTGGTGCTATAGTGGAATTCTAGGAGGCCAACCCTGTCCCTTGGGCACCAAGGACACCAGAGAGAGCTCAGCCTGGCCCATGTTAGACAGCGCTGATGGGGCTCAGGCGGGTCTACAATAACTGTAGGCCCCCTGTGAGAGCTGCGAGGATTCAGAGGAAAGCTCAGGTTGGGCAGAGAGGGGTAATCTGGTGGAAGAAGAGAGGGCTCCTGGGGAGGAAGCGATCAGAATAGCCTCAAGCCGTGAGGTGTTGGGCAAGAACCAGATGGAAGCTGCAATTCTGCTGAAACAAGGTCTTAAACATGTTACCCAAGGTTGCCTTGAAACAAGCAAAACAAGCACAAACAGAAAAGAACCACCAGATAACTTGCCTTTACAGGACTTCCCAGCCCCTCCTTTTCAGCCCTTCTTTTCAATCCTCTCTGATCACTTATTGAAGACACCTCCCCAGAGGGAGCATGGGCTTTGGTGTAACCTACCAGCTCTGTGACCTTGAAGAAGTTAATCTACCTCTCTGAGCCCCAGTTTCTCGTCTGTAATGTGGGAAAGTAACAGTTGCCTTGAAGGGCTACTGTAAGGTGAAGTATGAGAAAAGCCATCCCCGGCACATTGCAGGATCTCCTTCCCTGCAATGACCCTTCCCTGAGGCCTGTTGCCACCAGTAACGCCCCAGGCTGCAATCCTATTCTGCCCCCAAGTCCCCAGACCAGGTCTCTATGCAGTTAATCTAGAAAGTGAATTCTGCTTGACAATGATGGACACAACAAGAATTTTTAATATGTTGCCACCAATCTGAATTGCTTTGACTTAAACACCAATCAGTAAGGTAGGTGGTACCTATATCATAATTCCCATCTTCAATCCGAGTCCCTAGTGTTCTTCCCTCTACCCTCCTTAATGACTGTTTCCTGCTTAGAAATGCACATTTCTGCAGTAGGTGTTGGAAGTTAAGGCATGCGGGGGGTGTTGGGCGCCCCAGCTGGGGGGCTGTGATTTCCTGCCAAATCCATTCCTCTGGCCCACTCCTCCGTCTCTGGGCTTGCCCCTTGTTGAATCACTAGCCCTCTTGCTGGGGAAACCCAGCTGGCAGTCACTAACAGGCCGTGTCAGCAGTTTCTGGCTCCTGCTTCCTCTGCCAGTGCTGGCAGCTCAGCTGGGCAGTCAGCATTTCGGGGACTGGTGGGTTTACAGTGGAATCAACAAGTAGTTGGAAGCGCAAAGAGCAGCTAATACAAGACTGACCCCACGAGCCCAGTTTAGGGGGGGATTCTGGCCAAGGTGAAGGCGTGATGAGTCAGCTGAGCCAGGTGCCATCTACACAGAGTCATCTCCACACCCCTGACCTCCAACTCCATTCGCTGTTTTCCCAACTTGTTGGACACCGTGCAATGACGCCAGACACACTGCTCGCTAAGGGAGATGGGCTGGGGTGGGGCCTTGGAGGAGAAACCAAGGACCGTGTTGCCATCCAACCTGCCAGCCACACTGTAGTCTGCTGCAAAATCTGCCCCGAGGTCATTGCACAGTGGTCGGCTCTGGCCCTGGAGCCTGGAACCTTTCAGTGTCACCACCCTCCAGCCTGGGAGGTGGTGAGTCTCTGAGCAGAGAAAGAGCAGTCAGTGAGGGCAGAGACCCCAGGCCTGGCGGTGTGCAGCTGGCTTATCCTGGCTCCTAAGAACCAACCGTGTGCTGTCTTCCCAACTCCACACTCAGCATGTTGGTAGCTTGAAGTCAACTATAGTGGGAATATTTACACATGGAAATCAGCAAGGCTCGAAATCAGGGCTCTCTTTCAGAACGTGTTATGAAATATTTAGCAGCACATCAGTGCCCCCCAGCCTGTCCTGCTAGTCAGAGTGGGGACTAAAAGGTCAATGAGTGGCACACAGCCTGGTGTCAGGCTAGGCAAACTTCTGGGAATTCCAACTCTGGAAATCTGAGACCCTCCAGATACGGAGGAACAGCTGAAGTAGGTACCTCCAAGTAGCCCCCATGCCTCTCTATCTTCACACCAAAATTCTGCTGTCTCTTCGTTAGTAGAACAGAATGGAGTAGAACAGAATCGCAAGAGGTCACCTGGCCAGTTCCCTGCCTTCGGGTGGGTGAAATTCTCCCTCCTCCACACTCAGCCCGCAGTCTGATTTTGAGGATCCTTGGTGCTGGTCTTCTTAAGAAGTTGGTTAGGTATCAGGTGACCCTTGCACCTGCAAAGGCTTTTTAATTCCTATCTCCCCCTTGCAACATTGACTTCATACACCATGCGTGGTTTTCATTTACGCAGGAAATTTGGCAAGAAATTTCTTCTTCAATAGCTTTCTACAGGAAAGGCCTCTTGTCCCTTAAAATTGGGCTGACTTTCTTAATCAGTAACCAACAGCCTATCATTCAAGAAAGCTTCCCTAATTTAGCAAACATAAAAACCTATTTTACATATGAGTAGCCAGTCTTCTAAATCCACCCATTCTCAGTATTGCTACACAGTTGATTGCCCTATGGGTGCATCAGCAGGCTACTCAGACATCTGCCTGGCCCTTGAGGAGATAGACAGATAAATCAACGATCCCCTGCAATGCGAGCAGGACCACAGCCCTGCCTCGCTGCATGCACGCATTCCAACCAGATTGCCCTACACAGAAACTGACAGAACAGAAAAGACAAGGGCCGCTTACCCTGGCATCAAGGGCGTTTGTCCACGAAGTCTTTGTTTCTAGAGTTTTTAGAGTCCCTGTTTTCAAGGTTCAGGTCCTGAGAGAGTAGGAAGTCCTCGGCTTCCTGTGTAATGATGGAGATAGGACTCTGAGGTGCCCAGTCATTCAGAATGACAAGAAGGAGAGGAAATTCTTCTTTTTGTATAGGTGGGTGCCCATGAGTGGCCACAACACCCACCAGTGGCCAGTTCCTGGAAGCTGAGTTCACTCTAAGGATTTTTCTCTGGTCACTTGACTGCACTTCTCCCTGGGGAGCTCTGTCTTAAAGGGATTGGGTAGGTTGGTATGGGGTGGAGTTGAGTTGGGCAAGGCAGGTGACAATGAGATGTTCCCAGAGCTTATGAAGCAATTGAAGGCTAGGAATGGAGGGACAAGCAGAGTTCTTGTGGTCAGGGAGCAGCTTTTTTTCTTTTTTTTTTTTTTATAAGACTGCAAGTGGAAGGATTTAACCCACAGCCTGGGTTCTTTGTTCCTCAAAATGATCTGGCTGATAAGTAGAGAGAGGCGGCAGCTTCTCTCTGGTGCCCCCTGTGTCTTCCACTTCTGACTGCTCCCTGTCCCTCTTTTCTCCTTCCCCACCCCACACCCCACAGAGCGGGTTTCCCTGGGGGCACCTCCAGCCTGACCGCATACGGGTCTGTTAGTCTCTCCTGAGCCCGGGCTGCTGTTCACGCAATGGTCCCACGCAGGCCAGGCTCAGGTCCCAGCTCTCCACTGGAGACACGGGCGGATCGCTCGCCTTTCTGAGTCCTGGTTCACCCTCCATCAGATGAGGACACTGACCGCTTAGGCTCCTAGGAGGGCGCGCAAGGTCAGCGTGCCTGTGAGAAAACGGCAGGCACGGGGGAAACGTCTGGAAAACGATGCTTATTATGATTCTCCCCACGGCCCCAGCACCTGCTCTGCGCCCCTCTCAGGTTCCATCTGCTTTTCTGCCGAACAGGGGCCCTGCTAGCCTTTCTCACAGGCCTGCCGCAAAGCGCCGCTCAGAAATCAGGAACGTGAACGTGCTGTGAAAATGTCACCTGTCCCTTCGAGGCTCAGTTTCCTCATCTGTAAAAATGAAGACTTTAGACGAAGTGCCTCAGTGTCCCCTTCCTTGGAATTCCCATGAGTCTCCTGGGTTGGGTCTCTCCTCTTTGGCAGCTTGTCCACAGAGAGAGGGTGGGAGAGAGAGGCAAAAAGGTAACCAGCCCGGCCGGGCGTGGCTCAGTGTTTGAGGGTTCACCCAGGATCCAGGCGATCGGGGTTCGATTCCCGGTCAGGGCACATGCCCGGGCTGCGGGCTTGATCCCCAGTGGGGGGCGTGCAGGAGGCAGCTGATCAATGACTCTCTCATCACTGATGTTTCTATCCCTCTCCCTCTCCTTTCCTCTCTATGAAATCAATAAAGAGATATATATATATATAAAAAAGAAGGTAACCAGATGGACAACGAAGGCCATTGGCCTGGAACCTTGCGGCCTTTGTGCCGAGAGCAGGACGCTGGGGCGGGGGTGGGCGCCAGGGCCGAGCCCCTCAGGTCCGAGGGTCCTGCAGCACGTCCTGCGCCTGCCTTTTACCGACCGTGCGCATGTTATTTAAGCCGCCAGGTGTCTCCTTCCTCTTCTGTGCAATGAAGTCAACAGCGCCAACTTTACAGGAGGATTAAGGGACATACCTACTCGCACACGTGTGAATGAATGATTTGGTGTAGTGCTTGAGACGGTAAAGCTGTCGGTCTTAATTTGGGGTCTCCCTCCCGAGTGCAAACAGTCTATTTGCTGGGTTCCCAGGAAACACTGAAGGGAGGGGAAAGTGGGACAGGAAGAGAAAGGAGCGGAGGAGGGGGAGCCACAGGGCCACTGCGGCTGTGGGCGAGCGGGCTGGGCCCTCAGGGTGAGCTCAGAGGCCCCGCAGTCACCCTGACCTCAGGCCGGAGGCGAGGGAGCCAGGCGGAGTCGGTGACATCGCCACCTGCCCCCGCTGGCTGAGGACAGCCGCTGGCGCTATTGGAGCTTCGCGCCTGCCCTGCCCCAGGCAGGGAGCCCCGCGTTTTCGGAAAGCGGCTGCAGTGTGTAGCGATGCTGTTGGGGTGCATGGCTGTGTGGTGCGCAGGAGACTCGGGTGCAGGCCAGTGTTGGTGGACGAGCCCCCAGCCCCTTCCCCACCGGGGACTCCCCACTCTGCCAAGTGGATCCACTCTCAGCCGCACCCCCGCCGCAGGACCCGAGGGTCTGCGCCTGGCGACTGCAGGACTTTGCCGGCAAGTCGGCGTCGGAGGAGGGGGCTTGTGAGACCTGCCTCTGTCCTGGTCACGTCTAAGGGAACAGACATGGTCAGTTCCTCTGTTCCTTGACCGGCCTCCCAGCCCTGCTCTAGGCTTTTGTGGCACCCGAGACACAGAGAGGAGGTGCCAGGCACATCTGATTGTTCATTGAACAAATATGTATTGAGTCCCCGTGATGTGCCAGGCAGGCACTGTTAGGTGCTAGGGATAGAGCGGCGACCAACAGAGACGGGCACCATTCTTCAGGCGCTGGCGGCTTAGCAGGGATCACAGACCGTTAAGCAGATCACGGCAGGAAGGGACAATGTCACAGCCTTGTTATTGAAACATGTGCCCAGATTTTTCATGTAATAATCGGCTGTTTTTTAACCCTTGCTGACCAGGCCTACCCAAGGTCTCTGAAGACAACGAAAGAATTCCATGAAAGAATACGTCTTCTCGGATGTAACTGGCCTCCTTTGTCCTGTGCTGACCTCTGCCAGCGTTTTCTTTTCCAGAGTGCTGCCCCCAGTTTCTGCCCCCTACTGCAAAACTCCCCTTCCCCCCGGCGTGCCCCTCTCTGCTCCAGCTCTCCCCCT